AGCGGGCGGGGCCAGCTGGTTGCCAGCCAACCACAGCGGCGATAGATTGATATTACCCAGCCTTCACGGACGCACTCTGCGCTGCTATTGGCTGATTGACACTTCGCTAGGAGAGATGCTTGTGTAACACGATTTTCCTTTACTATCATGAAAGGCAGTCTGCGAAGTTTCATAGCCTTTACTGAAACACTAAGAGAAACACTTATGTTATGCCTACTAAGGTCATTTTTGAGGTTTGACCTGCCACCTTCAAACTTCGAACTAACATCATTTTTTTCGATATCTTTAGGGTGTGTGAAATAAAAATGGACGCAATAAATTGATTCAGATCGATAAAAAGGATGAAAGTCAAGAATCTGGACACCTGCTGTCCTGCCATAACTATTATCATATGCAAAATTTCCCACAAAACGTTTTCGCCATTGCCGCATTGAGGGATTAAAGTTATTCGTGGCACGATTTCAGGAATCAGTCTTGCAGAAAAATTTTTAGCGTTAGACTTCCACAACGGATTTCTAAACATATAAACTCACCCCTTCAGTCTTTATGAACACATCCACGGTATAATTGTGCAGGCAATTACTCAAATCACCCAATTGTCCAGTGCGCCATTGTTCTGGGGTGATGTTGCAAAGCTAAAAATGGGCGTGGCAAGTCCAATAAGTCACTATGGGGTCAATAACTCGTCTTACCTCCTGGGCAAGCTGCTGACTTGGATTAACATCATCGTAGACAATATTTGCAGGAGAAGGAGTGTAGTCTGAACCTGCTGGGTATGCGCCACCTCCTGTGGCATAGGCGGGACCACCAGCGCCATAACCCGGACTTGGGGTAGTTTGCGGAGGATAGGTGGTATATCCTTGCGTAGGTGGTGGTGGTGGTGGCGCTGTCTGTGTTTGCGGAGTTTCTGGTGGGTAGGGGGTATATGCTTGTGTAGGTGGTGGTGCTGTCTGTGTCTGCGGTGTTTGAGGAGGGGCTGTATATGGATTAGTAGCTGATGTGGTGTTTTGCCATGGTACATACGACATCCCTGTGTCATACTGTGGTACGGTGGGCGAGCTCGTGGTAAAGGTAAAAGTAGACGGATAGGTGACGCCCTGGATGCCCTGAGTCGTTGAATAGGATAAAGTGGGAGAATAACAGCTTAGCATCGGTCCACTTTGGATGATAGCTTGTTGGAAGAGATCTGAAAACAGTCAGCTTACTTTTTTATTCTTGAAGTTGCTATGTAGAGGCAATTCTGAGAACCTGA